TATGGAATCATATCACGGCCCACTAAAACAGTGATCTCGACGATGAACGCTATGCACCTAACAGAAAACTGTATTTTTTTCTGTAGTTCATGCCAGCCTAATCGCGGTGAGAAAAAGAAAACATGGTACTTTCTGTTGTAAATTACTTTTTTTTTCTCAGTTCAGTTTATCAGGTCATTTATAATTGACGACGAACGAAATACGATCTACCACCCAACCTCCTGCCAATAATCATTCTCATTATGACTCTCTCATCATTAATGTTGGTTAAGTACAGCGGGAAAAACTTTTTCTCTGCAGATTTTTAATTTATACATTTCCGAAAAAATTTGAAATTCGGTTCCGTTATTTTTTTGAATAAAAATGGTGATTGACAAATTCAAAGGTTTGAGTATAAATTAAATGAAACACTAAAGGTTATCTCAGTAGCATATATATATGTTTACCAAAAAAATATAAACGGTTTTTCCTTCAGTTTAATTAAAAACATGCCGACTATCAACCCTGACACAATACTTTAACATAAATTATTTATCATAAAAATTGCTAGTGTTTAAGTTTTAGGAATTATTCTGTTTCGGAAAAAAACTTTTTCACTAAAAATTATAATTTATCATTCAGGATGTTTCCGATTGTCAATATTCATTAAAACAGTAATAATAAAATTAATTTCAAAAAATCAGTTCGACCTTGTTAATTGGAAATGACCTTGTGGGAAGAGTACACCGCAATCATGTCAAATAGTTCATTATCCCAGTTAAATATTCATTGCAAAAAAGGATTGTTGATTGAATCTTGAAATTTAATTTTTATTTGAACTTAGAAAAAATAACAAATTTTGTATAGAATGGAAAAGAATTTTATTTTCACAAAAGGTATTCATTGATGAGTGATACCTGTTGAAAATTTTTATGCTCGTCACTAAGTATGCTTGAAACTATTACGAGTTCACCTTAGTCGAATAACGAGAATGAAACAATGAACCAGAGTCCAGGTAGGCTACTCTGAGTTTTTGACCCAAAGGAATTAACGAGAAATCTTGATATTGCATAGAAAGTGTATTCTACAATACCCAGCCAGCACACAATGCATTCAAGCACACAAATCGCCTTTATTTATACACCTTAAAGACGTCATTGGGAGAGTTATACAAATAGCACACTAAAAATAACACAGTAACCACTCACAGCCAAGGATTTTCCTTGTGGGAAATGTGCTTTCAGGGTCAACTGATCAGACCATGAATAAAATCCAGAATTAAGACATTTATCAAGCGAGCTCTGGGGATCTAACGTCCCCCAACAAAAATAATTGAAATAAATTATATTGAGTGCAGTGAATAGATACTTAAATTACGCGCCATTTTGTTTTAACTAATGTATTTTAAAATATTTTATTTGCCGGGAGAATTGAAGTTTTTAAATTTCTATAAACAAAGAACAATTATTGTAACAGAATAACAAGAATTTTTCGAATTTCATGATTATGTACATACTCTAATATCGGAACAGTAAAGAATGTGGTGGAGTTTCATTCTTCAAAAGAACAATGAAAGCTCCACAACCAAAACATCCAGCTCAGAGAACTAAACTTCATCACAATCATCCATCTGAGCTACAATTTTTCTCCACTGTAAAGAATAATCTGAGTTAAAATGGGAATATGGACATATATTGAAAGATTGTAATAAGAAAGAATATTTAATTATTCAAACTTTCTCTCATTTTAACGATAACAATCATTGTAAGCACTGAATTGTGTCCAAGATTATAAAACCCTATTTGATTATTCTATTACTGACTTACTTACTTATGCCTGCTACCCCCCAAGGATTATAGGCCTCTGACTACCGTTCTCCAACCTACTCTGTACTAGATCTTTGGTATGCTCGTCACTTGATATGCTTGAAACTATTACGGGTTCACCTTAGTCGATAAAGGAGAACGAGACAATGAAGAGCCACAAAAATAGCATACTAAAATAACACAGTAACCAATCACAGCCAAGGTTTTTCCTGGTGGGAAAGGTGATCTCAATTTTAACTGATCAGCTCATGAATAAAATCCAGAATTAAGACATTTATCAAGCGAGTTCTGAGCATCTAACGTCCCCAACAATCTTCCTTTTTAGTTCTGTCCAATTTCTGTTTATTCTTCTAATGTCTGTCTCCATCCAATTCTCAGCATAATGTGTCCAATGTCCTTCCTCTTTTCCTTTGGCCTTGAGGACTCTAAGCGGGGGTTTGCTTTATGACGCAGTCGAGTTGTTTCCTCAGTGTGCGTCCTATCCTCTTACAGCGCTTCTTGACGACATGAAATCTGGTTTGTTGTGACCGACGGCTACGTAGTATCTTGCTTAGACATCTGTTAATAATTACTTGCATTTTCTTAATGATAGCTTTCGTAGTACTCTAAGTTTCCTCTCCATACATTAGAACTAATCTGTTATTGTACTTACTTACGTACTTACTTACTTACTTACGCCTGTTACCCTCAATGGAGCATAGGCCGCACATCAGTTTTCTCCAACCAACTCTGTCCTGGGCTTCCCTCTCCAGTTCTGTCCAATTTTGTTCATTCTTCTCAAATCTCTCTCTATTTCTCGGCGTAATAAGTTCCTTGGCCTTCCTCTTTTCCTCTCACCTTGAGGTTTCCATGTGAGGGCTTGTCTTGTGACGCTTCTTCCTGATTTCCTCCTCCACTGGAATCTGCTATTGCATAATGAAACTAATTGACAATTTTACAATTAACATTGATATGGAAAAATGTCATTTTTTTGTAAAATGTTTTTGGAACAGTCTTGATCATTCATTTTTTTAAAAATTCAAATGATTAGAATTCTACATTTATTTTTTTAACCGCGAATTTATTTTTGACTATTGTTAAACAAACATTTAGAAACATTTAGAATCATTGAACATGTTCAATGATAGTTGGAAAATGAACAAAAACTATGCGAAATTTGATTTTATGTGAACAGTTTAAATTTATTGTGTAAATCTTTTTTTTCAGTCTCGATAATTCAAAAAACATGCATAGTTAAGAAATGACTTTTTTTCCTTGAAAGTTTGTCTTCGATTTGCCATGATTATTATCAGTATGACTACTTTTAGTAATATTAGTAGTAGTAGTAGTAGTGTAGTGAAGGAGAACACAGGTGAGGGCAACCGAATGGTATTTATCGAAAATTACAGAGTTACTCAGTAAAATTGGAAAACCATATCGTAAACGGTTAATTTCCAAATCTTCAATCCATCATCAATCCATTGTCTGACATTTCACTATTCATGCGTTTCATACAAATTCCATTGTGTTCAAACTCTTCCTTTCTTGATCTTGCCCCCATCTTCTGCTGCCAGACATTACGTTGACACTCACGTAATATACTACTTATAAGCTCGCACCACACTAGTAGTAGTAGTAGTAATATAGTTCTACTAACGAATTATTGCTTTTAACAACATGTATGTTGAAATATATCTGTGATAATTGACTAAACATAAGCGATATCCAGTTTCATGCATTATATAGTTCGTGAAATACCAAATCCAGATATGTATGATTTTACAATTTGCAAAAATATCAACTAACTAAATTCATTGAAACTTTGAATGACAATTGCATGCATTGATCATTGATCGTGCATGCATTTTGTGTAAGTTGGATGATACGCTTATGAAAAAATTAGTGTATATCACCACACCCTGGTGATCAGATTAAAATTAAAATGAATTATGGCATGGATATGCGTATTTTCCCGATAAATAATTCTAATTAGCAGGATATGAAAAAATAGAAAAATAAGGTTGAATTTAAACAGAAAATAAAATGTTTAAATGAGTTTTGACTTGATTATGTTCTTTGCTAAATTAGGTTCCCTTTTCTGATTAAACTACCTTATTCTATTGTAGATGATACTCATCATTTTGTTGAAACTGTGAATCGATCAATGTTTGAACAGTATTGGAAACAAGGGGGCAATAGACTGCCAAGTCGCTCTAAAGTGTGCCTTGTTGGTAGTGTGCATCTATGACGTCCGCACGCGGGGATAGAACCCAGCGGCTCCGGTCTCGTATGCGGGCACATAGCCTGGAGACTTCTGACCGGGCATCCAATGGCGTTTATGTCTAACCTCAGTCGATCGACGATATTGCGCAACCTTATTCATTGTCTATGACGGATATCTGACTCACAACTAACATGACTGAAGTCCACTGGCTACGAGTACTCACTGCAAATTCATTCTTTTATTGTTTAAAAATAATAATCTGTGAATTGAACTTTGAACAAAATGTTCTAGACTATACAGTAATCATTTGATTACATTTTTTTAGCTGTCTGTGATCAATTTTATGAAAACAATGATTAGGATAAATTATCAGCATAATTCATTGTAGTCTTTCTGTAAACATACTGATTTAAAGTCACCTTTTGACTTGTTTTCCGTATGGAATCATCTAACATAATCAATTACTGAACCGACAGAAAATGATTATCGATCGCTCGTTTTCTATTTGAATGTGTTGGTCATTTCAATATCACTTGTTTGATCTTGAATCTATTTACCTTGAATGTCTTCATTTGAGTTAAGACGTAGTGTATCCTTGTAGAGGGAATAGTTTTTACATCGAGATCATGAATGACTCATTGTTAGGCCACTATCAGAAACCTGGGAGCACTTGAACACGGCTGTTTCGTCCCACTGTGGGTCTCATCAGTTGCTTGCATTCAAGATTCCTGCTACTCGCACAGGATTACAACCTATGACCTTCGATCTTGCGCGCGGATCGCTGAGCTGGCATTCACTAGTGTTAATGTGCAACTTCGATCAATCCACAGTCTTGCGCAACCCCAACCATTTGTCGTCGGTAGTAGTTACTGCTCACACCTAACAGGAATGAACTCCACTGGTTTTTTGTCGGTTACTTTAAAGTTGAAAAAAGAGTAAATTTTTTAAAAACTTTATTCATGAATGATTCACTTTTCACTTTTATTTTTTAGTCATATATGTAACCATTATAAAGGACAACCGGTATGTTGTCCAGGTTGGCGAAACGGCATCGGTGCACCATGTATAATACGTAAGTTGATAAGTCAAATTTACCACTGTTCTATAAATGGCAATCATTAAAATTTACAGTCTTACTAAATCAAAGTTATCATATTCGTTGTACTATTTCCTGACTAAACGACCATTTAAAATTGTCCATTATTTCATGGTAATTCCACCTGAAGTCCTTCTTGGGCTACTTCCAGTTCCAAGCCCGTGGGTGAAGAAGGAGGTTTGGGCATAGACGTTTAGTGACCCCATCCCGTACAAATCCAACTCGCTCGGGAAAAAAGTCGCTAGCCATAAAAAATAGTTCACTAGTCGGTAGCCTATGCTCTGTTGTGAGGTGAAACGTGTAGGAAAGTAAGTTATTCCATGATTTTCAATAAATCTTCAACTCTTATCACTTGATGAGTCAATGATACCTAGCTGAAACAGTCAGTGAATAGATCCACTCATCTAAAGAATAGGAACCTATGCTTCAGAGTTACAGAACTATCAAAGTTAAATTTAAAATTGAAAACTTGAATACTTGTCGACAACTCGCATTCAGGAATCGAACTTAGTGCCTTCGATCTCATGCCCAAAACCCTGACTATCTAGATCATTGAGTTGACATACAACGATGTTCGCAATGACCTTGAATTAGTCCTCACTATTGTACAACCATCTTTAATTGTCATCGGTAGGTAACTGACTCATATACGATACAGTTTAGCACTACTGATTATATCTTTTCGACTAGAACTTCCGGGAATTCTCCTCACAAAGCTACTAGTAACCAGTTAGCAAATTCAAATCATAAATCGATCTAAAATTCACTTTAACATCATGATATAATGTCAAGATAAAATAAATTTTGAAATTATAGTAGGAATCTGGTTGTCTGAATCGAGTATTCGATTTTCAATGTTATGATGTCCGCATAAAATTAGTTTATTTGTCCATAGGACTGATATTAAAATGTCGATTTACTTAAAAAGTCTAATCATAAGATGATGGGTTGAATAAAAAACTAAGTAGTCAGTCTAGGAAACATGGGAAAAGACAAATAATTTTTCACTGAAAGTGGGAAACAATCAAGAGCACTAAAACATATGGCTTAACACATAACTTTAGTTTTCGGAAAAAGAAAGCTATTTTTGTCTAATATTGTGACTAGCAGGGGTAGTAGTAGTAATAGTAGTAGTAGTAGTATTATATGACTGTAGGATTCATGTTTTATCCGATTTTTCGAGACTTGTCGTGAAAATCACAATGTTTTTGTAGTTGTTGATACTAAAAAATATATTTGTCCTAAATGAAAAAAACGATTGGGAAAAATTACAAATCTGTAATAATAAAACTGTCAAAAAATGTGTTTTTATCTGAAGTATGAAATGATCAGTTTGTATCTTTAAGTGTAGCGCACACCTCCAAAACTAACCATAAAAGAATCTGCTCAGCATTAAATTCATAGGCACAGAAGACGTTGGCTGTCGTTCGTTGATAAATAACTCAGTCCTACAAGAGGATTGTTGAGCACACCATACAAGGAGTATTGATTTCGTCAAGATTGTAAGTATACCCGTTCTGAAGGACGTCTGCTAGAGCAAAAACAAAGTCTAGGATTTAGCCTTAACTAATATTAACCTTTTAATATAAAGTATTTTTATCAAGCTCCGTTCTGACTTGCTAATAAACTATGAAGAAATATAAAGTTTTAGCTAAGTGGGTGTTTTTTTTCGTGGCTTCCAACACTTCTCTAGTTGATGTGAGTTGATGTGATGAAACTCTTTGATTCTAAATCAATAAATGTCGCAAACAGTCTATTTCATCACATAATATATACCCGAAAATTCGTATTAGTAGCTGACGAGAATTTATTTCTGTCTAAATTACAATACTACTTAATTTCACTGACGATCGAGCCAACTACTTGTACAATGTTATGGTGTTTTCTAACCGAAACCTTTAAAATAACATGTGTGCTACTGAGAGTTTGATACTTTTCCAAATAGAGAACGAAACACTTGTTTCATACTACTTAAAGATATTTAACTTTTATATAGCAGGTATCTGAAATAACATGCACAATATCTGATTGAAGTATGTTGAACATCACATAACACAAATTCAGATTGTCCTCATGTATTGTTGATTACACAAACCTGTAATTATAAAAGTTATCTTTAGGCTATTTCCGACTTCATACAACAACTTTTTACTTTCTACATTTGTATAACAGATTAATCAGTCAGAATATACACTATCAGCAGATGGAATCAGATGTTTTGATTGTAACTTACAGTAACACGAGAAACAAGCATATTACAAATATCTTTTGATTTTAGACAAAAGAAAACGGCATACACCTTTGAATAATCACGTATAATCAGTTAATGTGAACATAGAAATAAGTCATTGAATAGAATATTGATCGATTTTGAATAATTCAACTTTGAATGAAATGATTTGAAAGAGATTGTATGATATTCATAGTTGAAATTATGCACTGATCTTAGTTAGACGGCTAGCTATTTCCCATTCGAGAGAAATAAAGCCGAGACCGGTGGTTTCATCTACGAATGACTGACCTTGAAACCGTTGAGTTGGCATCCAATAATGTTAGGTCAGTCAGTTAGTTACGACTTAGAACTTCGTACGTAAGTACATCGGTTCAGGTTGCCATACCACATCAGCACTGTCAGTCCAAATCCAATAGTGGTAGCAATAGTAGAAGTATTACTGGTAATGGAGAAGATCAGGGTTCCACGATATGATTCTAAAAGTATAATTCAGCGAGATAAATTTAAGACGAGATGAGGAGATGAGGAATTCCGAAGATTCGAATTCCAGAGATCACAAAGATTGGATGCACCTTCGCCATTGCAAACGATTTTGAGCCATGTTGTTCAATGTCTCTAACCATCGATTACTATCATCTCGCGGACCCCAACCAGGTAGCCTACATCTACCAACATGACTCAGTCCACTTGTCAGTGACTTCATGGATTTCTGCCATGTTTTGGTTTAGCTACCCCTAGCTTTTTTCCAACCTATTCCTACACCACAAAACATAGCTCGTCGAGGGAGTCAGTGGGTATGCAAACGTAACACATTTCCCAACCACCTCAATTGATGAAGTTTCACCACTTCATCTATTGATCTGCTCATCCTTACCTGGTACTCGTTTCCTATTAACAGCATTACTTACTCGGTTGTCCCACAATATACGAGCAATGCTTCGAAGTCATCTAAAATCGAATACTAATAACCTAAGAATATCCTGAACTCTTACCGGCCATGTCTCGCATCCCTATAGTAGGACAGAGCGAACTGCTGCGCAGTAAACTCGTCCTTTAGTTAGCGAACAGATATCTAGCCTTCTGTATCCGTTCTGAGATTTCGTCACACACCAGGTCTTCAGCACTGATGACGCTCCCAAGATAACTGTAGCGGTTCACACGCTCAATCACTTCACTCTCTATCCCTAGTTTAGCTGCCGAGGCAAGGCGATCCTGAAGTAACATTTTGCATTATGAGGGGAAAAACCGCATCCCCAAAAATGCCGGCATTGTTGCTCAGGGTAATCAGAAGACTCCGCATTTTTTCAGCGTCTTCACCGAATAGAACTATGTCATCGGCATACTCTAAGTCAACAAGCGAGTCTCCTGGTAGAAGATCAGTCCCTACTCCTACTTTTGATACAACAGAACAAAGAAAATTTCACAAATCAGAATAATTATAACAAAAAAGAATTTTGTAATATGCCTAGTTCCAACCTTTGGAAAAATTCATTGATCGATACTTCTGAATTTATTCTTCACGTGTTTTTCGGTTGTACATACGCATTGGTTGCTTCGCATATCACATGTCTAACTGTAATTGCTTCGTCATGCCTCCATATTCAGTTCGTCTGTTTGCATTTTCCATTTCGCTTCGCTTTTACGTTCTGCATTTTATTGTCTGTTCTCTTAAGCGAATGTACAAAATTAGTCCATCCAAATAAAACTGTATTACATACTAACTTAATTACTTACGCCTGTTACCCTCAATGGAGCATGGGCCGCTCACCAGTTTTCTCCAACCAACTCTGTCCTGGGCTTTCCTTTCCAGTTCTGCCCAATTTTTATTGATTCTTCTCATATCTTTCTCCTATTTTCGGAGTAATGTGTTCCTTTAGCCTTCCTCTTTTCCTTTCACCTTAAGGGTTCCATCTGAGGGCTTGTCTTGTGACACAGTTCGGTGCTCTTAATAATCACCGTTTCACAAAACGGCATTCACCTAAGAATATTTTTATCCGGAAATGAGACAAAAGATTAATTTTTGATTGTAATATTATACATTAAATCTTTTCATTCCTAATTGGAATTAAATTTCAGTTCACTACATTTTGTCATGAAAAATTGGACAGGTACAACACCTGTTTTCATTTCAGATAGAATATTTGTTTTATTACGTTGACATTTTGATAAAAAAAAATTTCTGACAGATGGATGATATAAAATGTAACTAATGCATAGCATTATTACATAAACTATAAACCGACTGACTGACTACAACAAGTACATTCAAATGTACTACTACTGTAAGAAAATTGTGTATTTTTTTAATGATGATTTATTTTCGACTTGTATTTAAAACAAATGTCTCTGTTTCTCTGTTTGTGTGTTTGTCGAAAAATGCAGATTTCCAACTTTCGTAGTGAAGTTGAATGCTTTGAAAGATTGTCATTTCACTGAGAAATTTCGAGAAACTATGTGTTTTTTAAAAAAAATATAACATACTGTGTTTATAGAATTATTGGATATTGTGAATGATTTGTTTAAATAAGTGAGTTGAATAACCTATGAAGTAATTCCTCACTGATGTAACAAATCAAACGTTAAGAGATGGTGGAGAAAATTTGTAGCTCAGGTGGATGATTGTGGTAGTGCTTCGTCCTCATAGCTGGGTGTTTTGGTTGTGGAGCTTTCATTGTTCTTCGGAACAACATCATCAGTACAAACTTCAGATAGCAGAAGTTAAACATTCGAATTTCTCCACGTT